ATAAGGGTTTTCATGTACCAATGCTTGAGAAAAAGGCTTGTTTCAAAACATCTAAACCTGGGATACCATCCATGATGCTGATACATATACTGAAGAGAGGCATAGGTTAAGCTCAGCTTCTTGTGGTTGAATTGAGCTGAGGTAAGTTGAGGTAAGGTAAGTTGAGGTAAGTTGAGGTAAGGTAAGTTGAGGTAAGGTAAGTTGAGGTAAGTTGAGGTAAGGTAAGATGAGGTAAGGTAAGTTGAGGTAAGGTAAGCCATGACAGGAAGCTGAATTTACATGTAAATCTATCCGTACCTTTACATCATTTACGCCAAATGGCAAAGAAAAGTCACCATGACGCAGACCATTTTTCTCAAAGAAAATCACATCATGTTTATTTGGCTTTCTTTGTGTCGAAGCAATCAGACTTCCGGATGGCCTATATTTAAAAAAATTATATCACATACATAAACCAACTATTATACCCAACAACTTTATTCATGATATGTAAGTTTGATACTGATTTGCAATTATTAATTTTTGTGACCGAGGAAACAATCTATATAAATACATGTACATGATAAATGATTGGTTTGTGGTGATACATATTCGTAAACTTTCACATATTTCTCGAACAAACTAACAGTTTGCCTTTACAGTTTCTGTGACAAATTTATCAAAGATTTCATATTCATTTAAATACAAATAAACATGTTCACCTACTTCCAAGCAAGAGCTTGTTCAACGCCATCTACATTTTCACTGGTAGACTGATGTTCGCATTCCCTGTTCCACACACGAAGCTTTCTGGCAGCTGCACAAGTCAGTAGAATAAACATGATCAATCTGAGTGTTTTAATCCAACAAATGTAGTTATAATATACCAAGAAATCTTATCAAACTTGATCAAATGTTTGATCTTCAACTCAGTGTACTTCATATTACCCGAGGTAAAAACTCAGTAATAAATGTAAATGAAGAAAATGGTGATATACATGTATTGCCTTGGTTACCAAATAAAGAATTCTATGTTTCTACACAATGAATAACACTATAAATTACTCAATACAGAAATGCTTCAAATTGCTAATAAACATACACATGGTATTTAGAAATGCCATTCTTTAATAATGAAACTTGGGTACAAGGAAGTCCTTGGGACATGAACTTTTAGTCCTTATAACAAAAATTCTTTTAATCCTTGTAAGAAAGTGCTATGGGTGGGGAAAGGTGTAACTTCCTAATATAACCAAAATTTTCTTATACCGTATAGCAAGAATTTTTAGCAGGGTGCTAACTTTGGCTTATTTTAGTGATTTTGTAGTAGACAGCTAAAATTTTAATTGCTAAATTAGCACCTTACTTATACAGTCAAACCTCGTTATCTCGAACTGACCAAGAAAATGCTTCGAGATAAGCGAGGATTCGAGATATCCAGGGTAAAATACTTAAGGAATAAGTAGTTGGGACCTCAAAATTACTTCGACATATCCATGGTATTCGAGATATCTGTGTTTGAGATACTGAGGTTTAACTGTATGTACTGAATTCAAGAAAAGAATTTAAATAATTTTGATCAATCTCATGTCAAATGTTACATCGTTCATCTGGTATTGGTATTTACTCAACATCTTGTGTAAATTGTATTCAAATGTATGTTAAACGTACTGAAATTTATCTAAAAGATACATTTCCTCTCTTTTGCAAAATCATTGAACTCTGTGTCCGCCAAAAAAGTTCTGCCAAAATTATTGGCATACCTTTGAGCAAGCAAAACGCCAAATTTTATATCCGCTAAAGAAACCTGCTATACAGTATCCTATTTCCATAAAAGCAGGTTTTACTGTATACACTGTAGAAATACTTTTTTCTGTGTGGGAATTTTCCACGTAAATTTGTCACAGCCATGTGGACACCATGGAAAAAAATACATTTACAATATTTAAACAACTGCAGATATTTTTTTATAATTTTTTTTTTTAAATCAAAGAACAAAAGTTATGGGCAATGTCATTGTACAAATAGTAGTAAAGTGTGCACTTAAGTACCTGTATTGGGGCAGATTGAACTGACAACAAAATACTGTCCATCACCACGCCAACTAATTCTTGGTTGTTTGTCATCCCAGGAAAGTGCTGCTTTCACTTCCTAAATGAAATTAACATACATGTACATTTAAAAGCAGTGCCTCTATGTTAAAATTTGAGTATGCTGAATTTTATCCCCCCCCCCCCCCCAAAAAAAATCAAAAACCGTACCTCTGTTTTCTGCTTTGCAGCTTCTTTTCCCACCGAACCGTGAAATTGGGTCTCCTTTTTCCCCCATCCCACATTCACAAATTCATCTGTAACATGCAACATGTAACAAGTGTAATTACTTCTACAAGCTTATTGCAGTGAAACATGGGTTACAGCGAACACGCATATTAAGAATTCACACTTATAGCAAGGTAATTTTCAATCCTTTCAGGTTTAAAATATAACAAATTATGTTTATTACAAATCAAACTTTGTTCATCTCTGGCATTTTGCTTTACGCATGTGTTTTTACTGTAAATGAAAATCTGATTCAACTTTTTGAGAAAAAAAAATAAAGTTTGTGTATTGTAATATTAAAACAAAAAAATGAAGATTCATTAAAGCTACAACGTATACATAAAGGATATTCAATGTTTTTTAGTTGCATATGGAATTTATTTCATCAGTGGGATAGGATTTTTTTTTCAAATTTTCTCTGCAAAGGAGCAGTGAAAATGTCAAAAAATCCTGTCTCACAACATCTCCGCTAGCCAAGGGCTTCTGATAAGCTACTCTCCTCATAAACCCTTGGCATACGGTGTTAAAAAAAAGTTGGGATTTTTTTCTCAAGTTGTGATTGGAGTTGATCGACATCGTTCGACCAATCAGCAATTGTTTTTTGTAAATGACGATATTTGCGTTCGGGATATATCTTGACTCTTTAATATCGGTTATGTAAAACGCAAGTAAACAATGATCCGTAAGATAACATGCCATTCTATGAATGGCAATATGTTGTCATCCAATTTCTAAAGCAACGTGCAAAATATGTGATTAAGAATCTATACTGAAGATGTAGATTTGCATTTTTACATGTTTAAATAACAAATTAAGATAACTCAATACCTTCTTGTTAATTATTCTTTAAAAACAAAATTTTTTTAAATACGCTCTTTATTTCTGTCGATGACGCAATCTGTGCGTACCTGGTAAGAATCATGATCACGTGACAAAAACAATCCTGTCTTTTGTCAGCACCGTATGCCAAGGGTTTATGAGGAGAGTAGCGTATCAGAAACCCTTGGCTAGCGAAGATGGTCTCACAATTGAAATAAAATCCATATTCAACTACAAAATATTGAATTTTCTGTTTATTACATTTTCTTTGATTTTCTTTTTATGTGATAAAAATATATTTTTATTCAACAAATATTTATTTACGTTGAAAGTAACATAAAATTTTATATTTCTTAGAAAGGAAACTTCAAATATACTTACCTGCCCCAAAGTTATCTGGGTGAATAGATTTCTCTGTTATTGGGTCAAATTCTCTTGTCATCATAATTAATGTGTCTTGTCCTGTTAATAGATTTAAAAATCTTTAATTCCAACTGATATAAAATGTTCTTAGCATTGCTAAACATCCATAAATCTACCAGTTTACCAGTTGTGTACATTGCACAAATGTATTACAGTACTGCACATTTTCTACAGTTCAAATGTATTACAGTACATTTGAACTGTAGAAAATGTGCAAGATCTGAATTTTTCTACTATGTACAATAAAAGTCTTTGCAAATGTTTACAGTATTTTAACTAGAAAACTGACACAGTCAAAAAGGGCCCTGATATGGGCTGTTAAAAGACCTATACATTTAGGCATACACTATTTGATTTATCCCATCACAACAAAAGTGTCATGGATATATATCCAAACAAACAGACAGACATCGTGATTTGACCCTAAACTCTAAAGGTGTTTTGCTCTTACAGTAAAGTACATATGTACAAAATCTGAATACATTTCGTTGAAAACTTTTTGAGTTATCGCGTCACAACAAAAGTGTCATGGATATGCATTCAAAAATAGGTACAGACAGACAGACAAAGTGAAATGACCCCCAAATTTATAGGTGTCTTGCTATTATAGTTAAGTACTTAATAAGTACAAAATTTGAAAACATTTTGTTGAAAAATGTTTGAGTTATTGCATTACAACAAAAGTGTTGATGGACGGACAGACAGACAATGTGATTCCTATGGGGCTCCTGCATTTTCATGCAGATCAAGTCTTAACAATTACTTTTTCTTTATAAGTATGCAATGGCCATGACAACAATTCCAAGACACCTATCCCAGCAAATAATGGTAACCAGCATTAAAACTAAATTTCTTCTTTGTTTCCTTCCTTACTTTATAAATACATTACCAGGTATTCACCTGTAGCTAGGACCTGTTACTTTATAAGTACACTGACACATATTCACCTGTAGCTAGGACCTGTTACTTTATAAGTACACTGACACATATTCACCTGTAGCTAGGACCTGTTACTTTATAAGTACACTGACATGTATTCACCTGTCGCTAGCACCTGTAACTTTATAAGTCCAATACTAGGTATTCACCTGTAGCTAGGACCTGTAACTTTATAAGTACATTGACACGTATTCACCCGTAGCTAGGACCTGTTACCACGGTACTTTATAAGTACACTGACATGTATTCACCTGTAGCTAGGACCTGTTACTTTATAAGTATAATACCAGATATTCACCTGTAGCTAGGACCTGTTACTTTATAAGTCCAATACTAGGCTAGGACCTGTTACTTTAGAAGTATAATACCAGATATTCACCTGTAACTAGGACCTGTTACTTTATAAGTACAATACCAGGTATTCACCTGTAGCTAGGACCTGTTACTTTATAAGTACACTGACATGTATTCACCTGAAGCTAGGACCTGTTACTTTATAAGTCCAATACTAGGTATTCACCTGTAGCTAGGACCTGTTACTTTATAAGTATAATACCAGGTATTCACCTGTAGCTAGGACCAGAATCTCCTGATCCGGACTCCAGGACATTGCCCTGATACCACTACTCACATCTCCAACACTTTCCACCTAGGATAAAAAAAATCGCAATATGAATTAAATGATGATTGTGGCAAGAGAAGTCTTCATAACAATACCAAAGAAAACTGATTTCCTAAAATACTGTAAACAAACTTTTATTTGCATGTGAGAAATATACTCATGAGTTTCAAGATCTTTTTTTTTCAAAGCAAATATTTACTCCATTTATTTAATTGTATATTTATAAAGAGTAATTAATTCTCAGTCACTAAAATTAATACATGTGCAAGAATTTCAAACTGGCAACTCAAGAATAAAAGTTGTCATGATCGAATGATAGTTGATTAACCGCAAAAGATATGAAAAACATTAGTGCACCTGTCCTGATGATACATTCCACAGTAAAACACTCCCTGTATCCATGGCAACACAAACAGATTGCTGGTCAGGGAGGAATTCCATTCCCACAATTCTATTAACGCCATCTGGTGGGAGTTCATCGCACTGGGTAAGGTCTACAACTCCAATGACCTACAGTCAATATAGAGAAACATACAGTAAATCCTTCTTCATTTGCAACGACCTTCTTCGTGCATAAATAAAGGAGACAGTTTGCTAAAAAAAAAAAAAAATTAATTCTCACATATATTTGTATTTACATGTATTTTACAATAACCCAATTTGTGAAAAAAAAATATTTCGCTTATAAATACCAAAATAACTATCTTGCAAAATAGGTGTAGTAAATATTTTGTCATCTACAGTCTAAGTTTTAAATTCTAAGTAAAAATAAACAAAATTTTAACTCATTGGCATTACACCTTTTTAATTGCTTTTTAGATTAGATTAAAAGAATAGAATGCCAAAAGCATTTTTTTTTAAAAAGGGGGCCTACTATAAGAATAAGCATGATAATTTATATGTAGAAGGTTAATAACACTAGTTACCCGGTATGCGATAAGAAATTTATTGCGTAAATATTCCTCATATACCTTTACATGAGTACATATATTTTATTCAGTATAAGGAAAACACTATTGTGGAATCGCAGAAATAATCACTGATGTATGATTTTTCCTCAAAATTCACGTAGGTAACAACACACGTAAAGGACAAGGTATGGATGAATTTGGCACCTTGTTTGATATAAAATCAAAAGACCTAAAATTCTCGAAATTTGCAATTAAAAACTTTTCAATGATGTCGTTTAATACTGATGTGTTTTAAAACCATCATTGATTTTAATTCATAGTGTACACAGAGGCCACATGAAGGTAGTAATTTCGAACATTAATAATTTTATCAAATTTCTTCAAATCTGATGGAATTTTGTCACACTTGTGATACTTATTTCTTTTCACTTTGCTATCTAAGATTTTCATATACAAGTTGTGTCAGAGTGTCAGATACTAGTGCAGGAAATAAGTAAATATGGTAGAAAGGCAAGCCTGGGCTCTGTGTTTTCTGAAACAAAACTTGCCTAAAAATTGATGACAATTTGAATAAAAATAGGAAATGGAAATTAACAAATTTTGCGACCTTCCTGTAATCTCTGTGTATCACTTAAAGAGCAATACATGCACTCATTTTGGGTCAGAGACACATCAAATTAGGGGCCAAAAAGGGGTCTTAGCCTATCTTGTCCTTTCATGTTTATAGTATATCTGTTGAATACCAACTTGTTCAGTTTGAGGACAAAGTCCAACAATGCAGACTGGTGATGCAGCATACACATTACCGGAGTCATAGTCAATACAAACACGCTGTGTATCCTTGAAATGCGAACCAGCATCCAGGTGTCTGTACGACAGCAGCTCCAAATTTCGCATTTTGTCAGATACTTCTTATTCCTCTCGCAGTGAAATGCTGAGATAAATGGGGGAAAATGAGATGTACTATGTATTAAAGAATTGATTAATAAGCTATTAGAACAAAAATTGTTTAAATCAATAGACTTATTAATTAGCACTTCAATGGAAGCATCATTCTTTAAGTATCCTAAAAGTAAAGTGCGATTCAATTTATGTACAACCCACAAACATTGCCTCTGCTTGTTATGTTTGTTTTTTTTTACTATGGTGACTGATTTCTGTCATCCACATAACCACTTCCTTTTAAAGTATTTTGATGTGGATTTATGATATTTATATCCAAAATAAAAAATTTTATTTTTTGCACTGTAAAGGATGACTGCACTTAACGCCTGTTTTTGGGTCTTTTTCGGTTGCTTCTGTTGCTTTTATATCTAAACCTTAATTCACTTTTGTATGTTTATGAAAGAATCCTGCCAATTTGGAACCAAATTTAAATCTCAAAATGATTTTAGACTGTGATACAATAAAATGATTCAATGTTTTTTGTCCTTAGTGCTTTCCAAATATAGTGAATTTACACTTACCTGCCCTTGATTGAACATTAGATATGCATGAGAGGTGGAGCTAACATTGTAAATATGGGTCTAAAATTAGACTTGATAAATAACAATGACATGTTTGAAAAAAGAACGTGATCACTCTTTCCAATCTCCCTCTCCATTCCATATGGCACAAATAGACTTCTGACAAAGGTTTCAAAACGAAACTAACAATATGAGCACGTCAATGTAATTAAAGCATTGTATATCCATGCCAGATGACTTAACGTGTTCGAACACAATGTCCTAGTTAGCACAAAACATGCTACCTTACAAGTCACGTGACGGAATTTAGTATTCACAAAGTTACCTGAGGTAGGACATCACGCGGTTAATTATAATATTCAACATGTCACAATCCTTGGTTACAACACAGAGAGCGAATGTAAGAAGAAGCAGTTTTTTTCTCTTTTTAACCATGAGCGCATGTTTGTCTATTAATCTCCTTTTGACACATTATTATTTATGCAAATATACAACTGCTGTGAAACGGAGAACAATAGACAAACATGCGCTGACTATGTATAAAGTCAGTAAAAAAGTGGGCGTCCTCATTATCGTACGGAGATTCAAGAAATTGTGATGACCCCTGCCTTTGAAAACAGATTCGAACTTCGTAAATACACACTTTTATTAAACGTAATTACATAAAGTTGCAGATTGGATGTTGGCCATTCTTGCAATGAAAAGAAAAATGCTTGTTTTGAAAGTTTATTTTGTCGCAATTTTCGCATGTCCTTAAGTGCAGTCATCCTTTATATCCCATTTGGGATATTATATCCCAAATGGGATATTACATCCCATTTGGGCGAGTGGTCCCAATTAACCTGTAGTACACAGGTACATACATGAATAGTCAAATATTGGCGCCTTTTTGTCTATTTCTCGCAAAAAGACTTTTGTGAAAAACTGCATATAATTTAAATAGTTTTATCAAGCTATTTTGAATAGATTAATAAAGGTATTTCAAGCTACATCAGGTTGGGCACACACCACCAAATGGTCATTTATCCCCCGTTTGGTGGTCAATTGCCCATATCGGAGTCATATTTACTGACCAAATGGTGGTCTTTTTTATTCGAATCCAATTTTTATAAAAATAAAGCAAAGGCGCATTCATATAGGCCTCGGGGAATTTTAGTAAACATATTCCTCGCACAATTAATACAGTTCGATCGATTTTCCATGTGTAATTTCTGTGGAACTTCGTAAAAATGATACCTAAAGCTGTCCATGACGGCGGAACTTCTTGCTTAATCAATCAAAAAAATGTTTTCTTGTGTCTAGTTTAATAAAAATTCTATTTAGACCTGTGGTTTAACTCTTTAGAAGTTAACTTTCAATTGATCTTTGGATCTTCGTCAAAATAAATCTCTATAGAATCCCGTTAAACACGAGCTCCTCATACTTTACTGGTATGGTGGGCACTAATTGCTACAATATTCATTTTTTCTACATTTGAATGTAACATTTATTCTTTATTTACTTTTAGGATGAAGTTGCGATTTCTGTGCGACATTTTGTGGTTTAGTATGCATATTTGTGATGAATCTACTATATTTAATCAATGATTTTGAATAAAAGATTTTGAAGTGACAATTGCAATTATTCTTGTTTTAATTCCAAGAACATCGTTTTGAAGCAATTATTATATCATGATCTCACTGTATATTTTATTTTTATAAAGAATAAAGCCATCGCGTACAAAATAAAACAAAATAAAAGCAAATTCTTCTCTTTCCTTTTATTTTCTAATGGAAAATTGACACTAATGTGCCTCCGTAGTTAAATCAGACTTTTGACCCGGTTCGAAAAAGATCATCATTTTTTGTTGGTTTAAATTATTTGATTGGTTGCCCGGATGATAAAAATAGAAAGTAAGAAACACGATCAACAGGTGCAACAACGTTCGGGAAGGAGAGAAAATTTCTTTTTAAAGTCAAAACACAGAAACATTGTACTTGTTTACGTTGGTGATGGTTTGGTCAAAAAATTGAACGACACTGCGCAAAAAACTCTGCGTTGAATTTCCAATTTTTTTTGTTCATAGTACCGATAAATGTCTGTATTTTATTCCCCACGAGTTAATATTATGCGCCATTTCACCCCATTCCACAGAATTGAACAAAGCGATTTTTCTCTCCCAAATGGTCAGTAAATACCGACTCCGATATGGGCGATTGACCACCAAACGGGGGTTAAATGACCATTTGGTGGTGTGTGCCCAACCTGTACATGTAAATATTAATATAGCTTAATCAAGAGATTGTACTGGACCTTGTAGACAGACAGCTGTCCCTGAAAAAAATGTAGGTTTCTTATCATGTTTTAAATCTACATTTAAATTAATTTAAATTGAAATCAACTTTGTATTAAACTTACTTTTGAGAGGCTGATGATAGAACTGTAGATGCCTCAACTCATGGGCGCAGCCATATTTGTTTCGGCAGGCGTTAAAACTAGTATACCAAACTGTCTATCTAATGCCCGTTTTCGGTTTTTGCTTTTACAATGCTAATTCAAACTTGTTCAAATTTTTATTTATATCCTAGAAAATGATCCTGCAAAATTTATAGAGGTTCTGCAAATCGATGATAAATGTATCAGTAAAAACCGAAATCCGGGATAGTTGGGAGTCAAGGGTACTAGATTTACCGCCTGTCCACAGGCTATAAGCATGCTTTAGGAAAAGAGAAAATCTGACGAAGAAAATCGAGATCTAGCTATGTTGTGGTAATATAGACCTACTCTAAATTCTAATATATACTTGAATTTGATATTTCCTTTATATAAAAGTGGTATTTGCATGTAATTAAAAGAAAAATATCTGTGTATTGAAAATACAGTAAACCATTTCTTACATACATGTATGCATTGTACATGTCTGGTACAATCATTAGATTTAGCTACGTAGCTTGCTTTACCTACATAGCTTTATTTACTTACCTAAAGTATCTTTATTTAGCTACTAAATCAAACATTTCTTAAATTAGCATTTTTCTCAGGATGTGCAGAAAATTGCACTTGATGTATAGTGATAATTTTCAATTTTGAACTCATCTAAAACAGGTCCACTCCAAAAACTATTTCTGCAGGTCTACGTAGCTATTAATAACATGAAAAAACAATATTCATAAAAAAATCTTTCTTGAAGATGTGTCCTTTTCTGTGCAATTTCAAAGTTCTAAAAGTATATACAAAAGTTGTGTCCAAATTCTAGCTACCTAGCTTAATGTAGTACTGACTGTACTGGACCTGTTGTGACATTCCCAAAAATCTATGACTGAGGTTTGCAATCTTATTTCCTGAGGGAATATTCCTTGTCACAAAACATTTACAGACTGTCCAACACCGAACACTCTGAAAAAAAATTAGGACGAATTTTAAAGATAAAAATAAGAAATTTTATGGCCAATTTAGGGCTTAACGCAGGTAGGTTAAGGCTTCCCATAGAAGATCACAGTGCACTTTGTGCCTTCACTTCTCTGAATTACCAAAATATGACGTCATAATTGAAAATCATTGCCTACTTGAGCTATTATGATGGGGAGATCGAGTGTCATGAACTTAACACCTTATTCAAACTGCATGTAAAATGGAGGAGCAATAATGCAAAATTCACATGTTGTGATTGCATGTATAACTATTTTTAAATCTAATATGTCCAAATATTTGAAATATACATTGCTTAAGTACCCTTGATTGAAATTCAGCTTGTTCAAAATGCCTACGAAAAATATACTTTTGAAATGTACTCTGTTTTATACTGTGGTCAGAGGTAGAATTTATTATGTATGTATAAAAGAGTCTGGCCCAGGCGATTAAGGACATAACACAACATAGTTTGAACTTTTATAATTATCTTTTTCCCTGGAGTTGAAGAGTTCCAATACTTAAGGAACTGTGTGCTACATTTTAATGTCTATATATGCTGTTGTACACTTCTCCAAAACAAGCTTGAATAAACAAAACATTGGGAAGGCCATAAAGGTCAATGGGACAATATGGCGCAACTGTCAAAGTTTTTAATGGGCCATCTATATATTCTGATGGGCCATTTTAAGAAAAAAACAAAATGACACATGTGAAATACGAAAGGAAACGTTTTTTTTATTAACCAAATTTTATTTTTTTCCATGTATGCAGTGTAGCACATTTAAAGGAACCCGCAAACAATATAATTTTCTCGTATTTTGGGTAAATAACGTCAAAATTTCAATTAAACATTGGAAATGAGTGAGGTAATGTACTTTTGTTGCCCTAGGTAAAGCGCTTCATGTAACAGGAAGCAATTTTTGCCAGGTTTTAACCAATGAGATTTGTTGTATTAAAATGATTGCATTTAAAACAAAAATAAAACAAGCAAGAATTTCGACGTATGAAATATATTTCCAACTTACATCGCTTAAATTTGAATGCGCACCTTGGCGCCACCAGTGGTTAATTTAATGCACCAATTTTCACTTCAATGCAACTATGGTGCATGGCGCAAGACCCTCCCAATCACTGAACATCTAGAATACATGTGAAGTAATTTTTGCATATTTTTCTTTGAATTATACAAGAATTTTCATCAATTGATATCTTTTCAAAACCCCTGGTAATGCATGCTGATTTTTTGTCTATGAACATCTGATAGCACAATAATCAGGGCTCTCACACCACTTTTGGGGACTGGGGCTGTTCAAATTGGGGAAAATTTTCGTCCTATTTGGAAAAATTGGGAAAATCTGGTTCCATATCAAAGCCGAATCAGCTTACGAATTTGGGTTACATGCACTGATTTATACAGTTCAACGCAGAAATAGTTTGTTTCACTTTTACTTGTTGGCGATAAAGTTTCATTGATTAAGATTTTTAAAAAAAATAATTTGCCATAAAAGAATTGGGAAATTTACACTTTGCTTTTGGGAAAAAAGGTACCTTTTTTGGATTGGGAATGGGGCCGTTCAACGGCCCCATTTATACAGAATCGAGAGCTCTGATAAATGGACAATATTACATACTGAAATCCATATCATATGTCATATCAGCCCAAGTGGCCCCATATCAGCCCAAGGGCTGATATGGGGCCCCATGGCTGATATGACATATGATGTGGATTTCAGTACGTAGTATTCTATTTATCACATATATATTTAAAATACTTTATATGCAAGTTCACATAAAGTCATTTAAGAATGCTTCATGCATGTTTATGACCTTTTTCTTTAAAATCTAATAGAGCCAATTTTGGATCTTTAAAAACAAATTTAGTCCACAAATTTTAGTAAAAAATTATTTTACATGTGTATTTGAGTAAAATCAAGTTTATTAACTTTTTAACTTTATATAAACATTACTTCCGGTTTGATATGGATTTTTGCCCACCGGTCCGATACGTGATATGGATTTTCGGACTGGTCCTTGATATGGGGTATTGTAACATCACCCAAAGCACTCCGTGCAGAATCAGTGTATTTAGTACTAAGTATATGATAAATTGCAATATTTGATGGCATATTGCGGTAAATATTGTGATATATTGCATTGCTGTCCATTTTTCTTAAAGTTTGGAGTAAACTGGATAGACGTGTACTTTTTCATTCCAATTAAACCAAAATACCCTATCTTGGTTCTGATCATCTAGCATTAGAGAATGATTGCTATCCACTGGTTGCATAGTTCCCTGCTGAATTAGGCCTGGTAGTCATAGTTATTTGCGTCGGAGATCAACATGTTTACTGTTTACATGTAATTTTTGCAAAAACAGTCTAGAGGTCCTTACTTTATAATATCTCACTGTGTAAAAAAATTGTCACAGATACTTCCAGATTATTTGGCTTGCATATCTCAGCTTTCATTTTTAGGTCACCTGAGTCACTCAGGTGACCTATTGCTATCTGTTTTCGTCCGTCGTCGTGCGGTTGTGTGGGTGTGTGTCGTGAGGGTGTGTGTCATGCGTAAACTTTTTCACATTTTCGACTTCTTCTCTAGAACCACTGGGCCAATTTCAACCAAACTTGCCACAAAGTATCTTTGGGTAATGGTGATTCAAGTTTGTTCAAATGAAGGGTCAAGCCTTTTTCCAAGGGGAGATAATTAAGAATTAGTGAAAAATTAATGGCATCTTTTAAAAATCTTCTTCACAAGAACCACTAGGCCAAGAAAGATGAAACTTATGTGGAAAAATCCTCAGATAGTGTAGATTCAAGTTTGTTCAAATCATGACCCCCGGGCATAGGGTGGGGCCACAATGGATGGTCAAAGTTTTACATAGGAATATATAGGAAAAATCTTTAAAAATCTTCTTCTCCAGAACCACTGGGCCAAGAAAGATGAAGTTTGTGTGCAAACATCCTCAGGTAGTGTAAATTCAAATTTGTTCAAATCATGACCCCCTGGGGAAGGGCGGGGCCATAATGAATGATCAAAATTTTACATGGGAATACATTGGAAAAAACTCCTCCTCCGGAACCACTGGGCCAAGAAAGATGAAACTTATGTGGAAACATCTTCAGGTAGTGTAGATTCAATTTTGTTTAAATCATGATCCCTGGGGGTAGGTTGGGGCCACAATTGACAATGGAAATTTTACATTGGAATACACAGGGAAAATCTTTAAAAAAATTCTTTTCTCAAAAACAGCAAAGCCATGATTGGATATATTTACGTGGAAGCATCCTCAGATATAGTATAGATTCAAGTTTGTTCAAATCATGACTCTGGGGATAGAGTGGGGCCACAATGGACGATCAAAGATTTACACATGAATAAATATGAAAAATCTTTAACAATCTTCTTCTCAAGAATAGCAAAGCCATGATTTGTCTTATTTATATGGAAGCATCTTTGGGTAATGTTAATTCATATTTGTTCAAATCTTGACCCCCTGGGGTAGGGAGGGGGCACAACAGGTGATCAAGTTTTAGTTAGGAATATATAGGAAAGATCATTTAAAAATCTTCTCAAAAACAACAAAACCATGATAAGTCATTATAATATAATTTAAATTTGGTTGTAACGCATCATTTGATTGGATAAAAAATTAATATATATTGTATAACCTGGGTTTGTTTTTGCAACTTTCAATTTATACTCTATGGATCCTCTATGGATTGTTGTTTTATACTCAGGTGACCGTTAAGGCCTTTGGGCCTCTTGTATTTTTTTAACGTATGTGTACTCCAACATAAGACTCAGAATTAAAGCATCACAATCAAGAAGATTGTTCTGCCATTTTCATAAACAAAAGCATGAAATCGTAAATTGTTTAGAGTAAGTATTCTGGAAAAAATATACTAAAATTGTTGAATTAAATTTACAATGTTTTCCTCGTAATATATATTAATCCTTCATATTCCATTCTTAATTAGCTCACCTGAGCTGAAAGCTCAAGTGAGCTTTTCTGATCACATTTTGTCCGTCAACTTCTGTCTGTCGGTCTATCTGACCGTCTGTAAACTTTTCACATTTTTGACTTCTTCTTAAGAACCACTGGGCCAATTTCAACCAAACTTGCCACAAAGCATCCTTGGGTAAAGGGTATTTAAGTTTGTTCAAATGAAGGGCCATGTCCTCTTTCAAGAGGAGATGGTTAAGAATTAGTGAAAATTTGGTGGTATCTTTAAAAAGTTGAAACTTATGTGAAACCTTCATTACATAATGTAGATTCAAGTTTGTTCAAATTATCACCCCCTGGGGTAGGGTGGGGCCACAATGGGGGATCAAATTTTACATAGGAATATATAGGAAAAATCTTTAAAAATCTTCTCAAGAACAACAAAGCCACGATTAGTGATACTGATGTGGAATCATCCTCAGGTAGTGTAGATTTAAGTTTGTTCAAGGCATCCTCCAGTAGTACGGTGGGGCCACAGTGGGGGATCAAATTTTGATATGAAGTATGAATATGGAAGCTTCCTCAGAAAGTTTAGATTCAATTTAATTCAAAACATGGCACGTGGGGGTAGGGTATGCCTAGAACAGGCGATCAGAGCTTTACATATTAATACATAGGAGAAGAAATCTACTGACGAAGAACAGCAGGGCCATATTGACTCAGGTGAGCGTTGTGACCCAAATGGCCTCTTGTTTTTAAACACTATAGCAATGTCTATATAAAAAAACTTTAAAAACTTTAAAACAGCCGAGTAACCAAGTTTTGAATTCAGATACACCATATTTAGTGTTTATGAAATACTTCCAGTTAGCATATCGTCAATACCGGTAATGAAAAAAAAATTTGCGATATATTATCTTTGGGTTTAATATTGCAATATACTGATATATTGATAATATTGCACACTCCTATTAATCGGCTGTGCCAAAGCAGAGTAGTGAAACACTTCAAAAAAATTATAAATGACCGTCACGTGATCAACAATGATACCAGATGCGCGTAAAAATGGTTGCCTATGCGTAGTACATTAAAGTAACATAACTGCGATTAATATTAAAGAACTTCATAACTGGAGCTCTCAGGTACATTTTTAAAAATAAATTATTGCTTGAATTAGAGAGCTTCAAGCTGTATTTAAAAATAAATGTAACAGGAGAGGGGAAAATGCATGGCTGGACTAGGAATCGAACCCAGAACCCCTGCATCACTAGTCAGGTGGCTTATTTACTGAGCTGTCTAAACCATTACTTTCCACCCTCCTTAAATTGTCTTCACCATTGAAGACACAACTTAATTTCTTATTCCCCCTGGCAGGATTTTCACCTGCAAATCCAGGGGTTTTCAATGGCACCAAATCTCTAACAGGAAAGAAAAACAAGGTATGGAACCTGGGACCCAGTGCATCACTAGTCAGGTGCTCTTCTGAGCTACCTAGGCTGTTATTCGTAGCCCAAAACATTACAGTCCTCCCTAAATTGTATTTGTTCTCAAAGACACAACACAAGTTCTTATATATGCCCCTGGCAGGCCTTTCACCTCAGGGCTCTTGCACCACTTTTGGGGACTGGGCCTGGGCTGTTCAAATTGGGGAAATTTTTGTCATTTTGGGGAAAATTGGGAAAATCTGATTCCTTATCAAAGCCGAATCAGCTTACGAATGTAGGTTACATGCACTAATTTATACTGTGAGTTCAACGCAGAATTAGTTTGTTTCACTTTCACTTGACGTTTGCAATTAAGTTTCATTGATTAAGATTTTTAAATAAAATATTATGCCATAAAAGAATTGGGAAATTTATACTTTGCTTTTGGGAAAAAAGGTACCTTTTTGCATTGGGAACGGAGCCGTTCAACAGCCCCAATGATATAGAATCAAGACCTCTGCACCTGCAAGTCCAGGGGTAGTCAGTGGCAATGACTCTATAACAGGAGAGGAGAAAATGTATGGCAGGACTGGGGATTGAACCCAGGACCCCTGCATCACTTCTCAGGTGCTCTACCTACTGAGCTACCCAAGCTGATCCACAGCCAAAACCATTACATGTACATAAAGTTATGCCTTTAAGTTTACCTAACCAAAAAGAAAAATAAATTAAAAAAAAAGTTTTAGGGAATTTTATGGTACATCAGTGAAATTAAAATTCAAAGGTGTGAATATGATTATAAAAACAATACGAACAATGAATAATGGGTTTAGTGATACAGAATTTGAAACTTGTTTCAGTGTACATGTACGGTGATGTACCTATAAATACATCGACTGCTTTACTAATTAAGATAGGCACAATGTAAGACATGATGATTACGTGTAGTTCTAGATCTATGGGAATGGATAAAAAGCCATCTACATGTATATGAAATAATTAAATTTAGTATATTTATCTAATTATGAATATACATGTATGTAAGATATTTAAGTATGAATTTAAAATATATTTCAGATGCACACTCTCCTGAAAGAGATGGCAGATGAGACATTTCAAAATGTTTTGGAGGTATACAAACAGAAGAAAGTTATCATTTCAAAAGCACATTCCATTGGTCAGTTTCGATTGGGAGAAATTGAGAAAGCTCTCTGTGGCATTCATGTCGTGGGTGAAGACAGATGCTATTCTAAGTGTTTGGAGCATCTTGAGAATATACCAGACTTACCTGATATTGACGTCACTGAGGCAAGAAAAATCTTCCTTCATCAGTTTGTGGAAACTTCTAGGTCAAATTTGTATTTGTGTCATCTTGGACATAACCTGTATGTGAATGCCTTGGTGGATAAAAACCAGGAGGTTCTGCAAAAACTCCACAGTGACTACCATGTAGATTTTTCTTTGTTTGAAAACCCTCTTCATTTGGCAGTGGAGTGCCGTCTACTTCCTATGATGGGATTTTTAGTGAACGAAAAGGGAATGGATGTGAATTGTGTTGACATCAAAGGTAACACACCACTGCATCATTTGATGAAGTATCGTCAGCAGGTTATTTTAATTTTCAGTTTTAATTCTAGCATGTCTGATAATGCGAGATATGACAACAGCTCAAGAACTGAAGTTCTGCAATTTTTAAAGAACAAGGGTGCCAGACTATCAGTTCGTAACCAACAAGGAAGAACACCTCTACAGTATGCTATTGTAGATCAACACATTACAGACATTAATGAGTTCATTGATACGTATAGTGATTTCAGCGATTTCAATCCTGAAACTCGTATAGAAATCTTGGAACTTGTAGCAGCAAAGCAGATATTCAGTGATAATGAGGAGGACTCTATTGGAGGAGTAAAAACCTATAAACTTGCTTTAGGTGAAAGAAGAAAACACAATATTCCAAATACTAGGAAAAAGCCACCACAGGAACATTTCTTTGAAGATATTGTAGAACCAGATACAGAAAATTCAGAGTTTTTGAACTTAATCTGTGCTGCAGGAGAAAAGAGGAAACGACTCATTCTTGGCCTTCTGATTTATGAAAGAATTTTAGGATGTAGACATTTTTGTTTTCTGAAGGAAAGTTATAGATATCTATTGCATTTAAAATCAGGACTTTTTGACGGAAGTGTATCTACTCATCACATTTTGCAGAGTTTGACATATTATTTCAATTTCTTGAAAAATGAAAAGGTGTTTAAGGAACGTGAGAAAAGGCCCAGGGATTGTTTTGATCATTTTGGTCAAGAACCGTTCAGTGTTGAAGAAGTGGCCGATTTGCTAACATTTTTTGACTTCGAAAGAATCAATTACCTGTTCACAAAAGAAGAACTTCTGGATCTGTTGTTGTATGTTTATGTTTGTGTATTCCAGATAAAAATTGATCAGGATGAAATACCAAGTGAAAAAGACAGAGTACATTTGTTTCATTTTTTAGACATTATCTTATCAAGGCCATTAACAGAAAAAAATGAATTCACTTTGAGGAAGGCATTGAAAACCCTCATCAGTGCAGGGAATGCTAGTAAGCGTGGACAAGTGGGATTAATACATAGTATCGTGGATCCCATGTTGACACTTAGGGGGGAATATTACGTGTATGTCTTTAATCATGGTCCAGAAATCTTGGAAAGGCTCTTAGATTGCGGCGCGTCTATTCATGAATTGGACGAACAAAACATGAATATCCTCCAATGTTTTTTTACAAATAGCATTGAAAACTTCAATCAAGAGTCATATGAACTTTTTTCTGCAGATGAAGTTGAAAATTTCAACAAACAATTAAGAGAAATTGTAAACATTGCTGTTGAAAGAGGTATACATGTAGATCAAGGATTTAAGATTAGAGAATTAGGGCAAACAGTTTTTAAAACTGTTTTGGATCAAGCTGTGGGCACAGAATTTTATCCTATTGTGAATAATCCCAAGTACAGAAGTCTGAAATGTCTTGCAGCATCTGTTATTATAAAGAAAGACATTTCGTATAGAAATGAAGTTCCGACAGAGCTTATTCATTGGATTGACTTTCACATGGGAAAAAGAGAATTTTATAATTAAATTCATTTCTTCAAGTTTTTTCCCCATTATCATGATTATCCGTCATTTACAATGATGCAAAGCCTTAACTAAAATTTTAAAAGCCTCTTTTCTTTGTTTTTTCATTGAACATGGGTAGTAAACATGTTGATGTGTCAAATAAAAACCGTTTGGAGGAATGGCAAAACAAATTTATATAGTCACTACTGGTATTTTCTAGATTAAAGTTTTCATGATTTGAATAAAAATTATTTGAAGAGTGAAATTTTATTATTTTTTGAAAGATGTGAATTTCTCATATCATGAAATTGACGAAAATTAAACCTTCACAAAAATTAGTGATACAGTAACTCTAAAATTGATGTCTTCAACAACGATTTTCTTAATATTTCACCAGTAGAAATTAAAGATACAATGATCTCGTCAGCATGTATATTCTATCGCTAAGTCGAAAGTTGATTGACATTTTTCATATAAATTGTTAGGCCATTGTTTTCAAACAAAATTTTTACCGATCCCCCCCCCCCCCCCCCCAAATCCGATTATGAGAAGGAGGACATGGCAGGTGTGACTGATTGACAGGGTATGCTTTTGCCTCCATGGCTTCTGATCCCTGCACCCACTTCTGATGTTTATAGTTCTAAGTCAATGTTTACTCCTCTCCCAAATTGTTGTTATCTTCATTTTATTAGGTTACCTGAGTCACAGGTCACCTGAGTCACTCAGGTGACCTATTCCTATCCATTTTTGTCTCAAGGTGCTTTAACATTTTTAACGTCTTCTCTGGAACTGCTAAACCAATTTCAATCAATTCTGGCATACAGCATCTATGGGTGAAGCAGAACAAAATTGTGAATTTCATGGTCCCTGCCCCCTTGGGGTCTAAGGGGTGGGGCTAAAACCACCAAAATTAATGCAATCTTTAAAAATCTTCCTCTTTACTTCTGGACATCAAGCAGTCAAACTGGTAGCATGATTGTTAGGAGCATTGAACCCTCTACCAAAATTGTGAAATCCATGGCCCCTGGGTCAGGGGTAATGGTGTAATGGTGGGGCTCTATTGATTATATAGTGAAGATGCATCAATTAGTTCTTTTAAATTGTTTTTTTTCTGCTCTTGGGTACTATTTAAACAAGAGGTCCTAGGGTCTTAATGCTCTTGGGTACTATTTAAACAAGAGGTCCTAGGGTCTTAATGGTCACCTGAGTATAATGTAACAATCAAAACAAAATAAGCTGATAAATTAAGCTATGTTGCCCAAAAGCAAGAGAAACAGGATGATCAGGGATCAGCAAAATATTAATTTAGTACTCCATATCAAATCTCAAAGTTGATCTATTTATTTGCCTATTTCTTTCCCACATTTTTCACTATCCTCATGCAAATTAAAGAAAACAATAGTTTTAAAACACTATTAGTGAACACATTTCATTCCCCCTCACATTGGCCTCTCTTATTAGTTTTTGAAGATTATTTATTGTACAAAGATACAGTTTTTTGTCCCACTTTTATTTATCTATTATTTAAAAGTTTACCTGACCATTAAAACTATGAATGTACTTTTGTATTAAATATTATAAAATTTCTTGTATAATTCCATTATTCAATTGACATTTTAAGTTAATTATTTACAATGATTAACTATTACAGGTGAATAGCAAAGGAGAATAACTTCTTTGAGTAGAAATTAATAATCTGACCAAAGGGTACAGAATTTCAAAATCTGGTAAAAACACCCTTGCTTATTACAACTTCATATATTTTATTTGCCTCCTAGATGTCCAGGAGCAGAGAAAAAGATTTCACTATAGATTCAATATAGCCCCACACTAATACCAAAGCCGCTGATCCAGGGGCCAAAATTTTGCAATTTAGGAAGAGGTACTCTTCCTTATCATAACCATGCACTTAGCATGTTTCCATAATAACAGTGGGTAGAGAGGAAGATTTTCAAAGAAAAAATGTATTTCAAGTATATACTAGTTACACTGATGCCCCGTATGGCAGCTTATGGCGAAGGTTAAAGTTTCTCAAATGCAAGTCAAAATCCAGGCCAAAAGATACAAAATGTTGGTACCCAAAGAAAGGTCTTGTCTCAAGGAATATACCTTTGAAATTTGAAAGCCCTAGCTGCAACTGTTCAAAAGTTATGGCCAAGGTTAAAAGTTTTTCAAAAGTTGGTCAAACTCCTATGTCAAGGTCAAAGGGTCAAAGTTGTTGGTATCCAAAGGAAGGTCTTGTCACAAGGATTACATATGTGAAGTGTAAAAGCCCTAGCACCAACTATTTAAAAGTTATGGCCAAGGTTAAAGATTTTTCAAAAGTAGGTCAAACTCTTATGTCAAGGTCAAAGTGGTGGGTATCCAAAGGAAGGTGATGTCACAAGGATTACATATGTGAAGTATGAAAGCCCTAGCATCAACCATTCAAAAGTTATGGCCAAGGATAAAGTTTTTCAAAAGTAGGTCAAACTCCTATGTCAAGGTCAAAGTGGTTGTTATCCGAGGGAAGGTGATGTCACAAGGATTACATTTGAGAAGTATGAAAGCCCTAGCATCAGCCATTTAAAAGTTTTGGCCAAGGTTAAAGTTTTTCAAAAGTAGGTCAAACTCCTAGGTCAAGGTCAAAAGTTCAAAGTGGTTGGTATCCAAAGGAAGGTCTTGTCACAAGGATTAAATATTTGAAGTATGAAAGCCTTAGCTCCAACCGTTCTAAAGTTATGGCCAAGGTTAAAGTTTTTCAAAAGTAGGTCAAACTCCTAGGTCAAGGTCAAAGGATCAAAGAGGATGATATCAAGTGAAAGTTCATGTCACAAGGATTACACATGTGAAGTTTGAAACCCCAAGCACCAACTGTTCAAAAGTTATGGCCAAAGTTAAAGTTTTTTAAAAGTAGGTCAAATTCCAAGGTCATGGTCAAAAGGTCAGAGTTGTTGGTATCCAAAGGAAGGCCTTGTTACAAGGAATACATATGTGAAGTTTGAAACCCCAAGCACCAAATGATCAGAAGTTATGGCCAAGGTTAAAATCTCATAAAATTTTGCAGAAGTGGGTCAAACTCCAAGGTCAAAAGGTCAAATATGATGGTACCCAAAGAAAGGTCCTGTCACAAGGAATACACATGTGAAATATGAAAGATATAGCTCCAACCAATCAAATGTTATGGGCAAGGTTAAAGTTGACAACAGACAGACAGACAAACAAACAGACAGGACAAAAACAATTTACCCTCGGGATCTTTCGATCCAGGGGCGTAAAAATTAATGCATTTTCAGTATGTTTCAGTATGTACTGGTCCCAGCTGACAACGCTGGTAACAATTTAACATAGTCTTTGTTTGTAAGGCTCATTATTAAAATAATTTGAATTGTATTTTAGAGGAACTAGGATTTAATTCTACGGGTAGAAATCCAACTTACACCCATACCTTCCTTTCTAAGGAGGAAATTCTTCAAAATCATATGTCCGTTTTAGTAAATTTTAATATTCCCAACAATCAAAATGAATTTGAATTACCATACCTTTACTGGATTCCTAAACTTAATAACAATCCTTAAAAACAAAGATACATAGCGTGTAATGTTCTATCAAGCCTCTTTCTTTACTCCTCACTAAAATATTTACTGTAATGAAGGAGAATCTTCATGGGGTACTGTTCAACAGTATATTCGAGAAGTGGTGTAAATCAGATGTGGATACTTAAAAACTCCAAAGAACTTTTGGAGAAATTTGAAATCACAAAATTTTACTAAAATCAATAGCTTCAAAACGTACAACTTTCAACACTTTATACAACCATTTCCCATGAGAGATTGAAGTCCAGGCTTTTTGACATTACAAACAGCTGTTGTTTTTTCTTCAATAAAAATGGAACTCATAAATATACTTCCCTTGTCATTGGTCATTTACAGAATTATTTCGTTAAAAAGCATTCTGATTGTACACACAAGTACTCTGAAGTTGACATTTAAAAGATGCTTGAGTTTCTGATTGAGAATATCTATGTAGTTTTTGGAAATCAGGTCTTCCAACAATCTGTTGGAATTCCCATGGGTACCAATTGCGCCCCCTTATTAGCAGACCAATTTTTGTATTCATATGAAGCAGAATTTATTCAAAAACTTCTACACGAGAAGAAGAAAACACTTGCTATGGACTTCAACTCAACATTTCGATATATCGACGACGTATTATCAATTAACAATAGTTACTTTCATTTATATGTCGACTCGGTATATCCCAGTGAGCTTGAAATAAAAGATACCACAGATTATGACACATCTGTTTCATATTTAGATATTTTACTAGAAAAAGACGTTAATGGTAACCTAACAACAAAGCTTTATGATAAACGTGATGACTTCAACTTTCGTCAACTTCCCTTAGTTATGTAGCAATATACCCTTATCACCTGCATATGGGGTTTATGTCTCTCAGTTGATTCGATACCCAAGAGCACGCTCTACGTATGAACAATTTCTAAAACGAGGCAAGCTATTGACAAACAAGTTAACGAAACAAGGATATCAACAGTCTCGTTTGAAGTAATCTTTTCGCAAGTTTTTCGGTCGATACAATGACCTTTTCAGCACATACAACCTATCATTGAGTGACGTTTTTCATACTAATAGTTAGGCCATTATTTATACACTGAACTGTCTACGGATTTTTCCGGTTTTTGTTTCCCGATCATGACAAGGAGCACACGGCGGGTGTGACCGGTCGGCAGGGGATGCTCACTCCTCCATGGCACCTGATCCCACCTCTAAATTTTGAGGTCCGTGTTTGCTCTGCTCCAAATTTGTATCGTTTCATTGGACATTCGAGATTGAATACTGTTTGTTAGCCTCATATTTCTTCTATATAATCAATAGAGCCCCGCCCAAACACCAAAACCCCTGTCCCAAGGGCCAAGATATTCACAATTTTGGAAGAGGTGCCCTTGCTCATCATAACTAAATACTTGGTCTATCTAGTCCCTAGGAGCAGAGAAGATTTTAAAAGAAATAATGCACTTTCATTATATAATCAAT